GCAGAACAGGTTAGCCACAGCTTGCCGGTGCGTTTTGCTGTGCAACGGTCAGCCGAGTCTGACACCCCGCCGCCGTCACCGTTCAACGTTTCGCGCCTAACCCAGATCGCCAGTAAGCCCGCCCGCCATGTAGGTTGTATGCGTGCTCGTGTAGCTGCAGCCTCCACGACGGAAGCGCACCGGGTGGACAGCGACTGGATGCTTTCGCGCACCGTCTTCGTCCTCTCTTATCTCGTCGTCTCCATCGTCACCTACTTCGTCGTCTTCGTCTCCTCTTATCTCGTCGTCTCCGTCGTCACCTACTTCGTCGTCATCACCAACGTTCTTCGTCTCGCGAAAATCGTCCGTAAGCCTGCCCGTCTTGCCGGCTGCAAGTGTGCTCGTGCAGCTGCAACCTCGACAACGACGGGAGCATTCCAGGCGAACAGCGATTACACCCTTTTACTCTCACGTCTTCATCCCCCACCCTGTTCCCTGATACCACCCTTCACCCCGTTTCCACCTCGTCCCATCCTTCACCATCTTCTGCCAACCATCCGTCATCGCCTTCAAGTCTGTCAGAACTCTCATCGTTCATTTCTCCAGTCCCCATCCAGCACCTTTGCCCCAACCATCGGACTGCCCTTCACCTCAACCTACTGTTGCTAATCTTATCACCAGCCTTCTCACCGTCGTCCTCCAGCTCCACCCGCCGTGCCCATCACACTGGAGTCACCGTACGACCACGCCGACACTATCGTTACTGCAGTTCGCCTAGGTTATAACCGACGTGGTCGGCCGTCCGTCATGTTCCTAGTTCAGTGGTCTACCGCCAGTGGCCGTGACGCGTCCTGGGAACCGTACGATGACGTACGCAGCCTTCCAGCACTTCGTGCCTTCCTGGCGACCCCAGCCTGGACCTCGTTTAAGCTGTCCGACCGCTATGCCTGGTTCAGAGCGAAGTTTCCGGAACGCGCCCCGAGGATAGTGCACTTCGTGACAACCTAGCGCTACGCATAGGATGTGTGTTGTGTGTGACTCGTGTCCTGTGTGTTTCAGTTTGGGTTATTTCGCCTCAGTTTTGCGCGTGTCGTGTCTTGACTTC